TATCATAGTATATCATGTAGTATAGATAGGATTGTATAGGATTATATATTCTTGTAGATGATTGTATAAGTATATCCAGGTTTACATAGCTATATACTGTATATTATATATATGATTACATATATGTAGGTATATGAATCAAGGCCTATTAATTCATGGATTGATGATGATTGATGAATGTCCCTGAATCTGGGCAATCTACCCCAAATTTTCACCCTAGCACATATTTGGTGACGGGTCAAAGATCAACGTCACCCACACATCTGATATGTCTCTATGCTGGATATGATCTGAAAACTCTGATCCACGCTCTGCAGTCCATTCTCAGGATGTTCGCAATCAAGCTACCCTCTGGTAATTTAACACAAGTACGGAAAATCAGCATGTTGAAATTATAAATTATGAATTGTCCATATCTCCTCATTAACTTTGATGACTTTCCCATTACACCATTTAACCCACCATGTTTGTTCGGGATTTCCCAACGTCCGCCCTGCTAGGCAACCCCACAGCTGACGATGAAGTTGCGCGCATAGGAGAAGAACTGGAAACCCAATTGATCGGCACCTGAATGGAGTTTTGATCAAGAGGAATCCGGCAGGATTCACCCAATAAATTAAGGAGTTAACTGACAAATGTTAAATGATCAAAAAGTGGATTACCAACACATATTGGACTTTTAACTTGTTGGTTGGGTTTAACCAACAAATATTGGGATTTAAGTGACAAAAATATGGGTTTGACTCGCAAGACAGGGGACCCGGACCCAACCCAGAAACAATCCATGGGTAACCATTGCAAAATGCAAGTGTATTGTTGGGTTTATATTGGGTTGTATAATGCTACAGTATACTGACTTGCTTGGATTTGATATGATTTGATATTTCTATAGTTGTTGATGGATGACTGTGGATAGCGGATCAACATTGCCCATATTCGACCACATATCTCTGTCACATTGAAATCTGAGTAATGTGGTCAAAACACGTTAAAACAATCATAAACCATCCCCCAGTCATCACCATTTTTTTATAGGTGCTATGGTTACCATTCCCATTTTATGGGTGGTAAAAATGACATTGATATTAGTGTAAAATGCACCATTTTCAAAGCCATTTGGGATCTAGTTGGTTATATATCCCAAGAAATATCCCCATCATTATCCCCGTTTGTAGACCCCCCTATTTAACAATCACGGTTTTCATGACATTGTTTTACCCACAATTCGACCAGAGGTCATCCCCACCCATCCTGGATCATCCTGGGATGATCCCAGTCTGGGACCCCTGCTGAGCATGCCCGCAAGGATTTCCTGGCGGCCACGTAACGGTTATGGCACGACTTTTAAAAGATCTCCCAACCAACAGATAGGGCTGAATTTGGGATAATTTTCGTGGAGTATCCTCTGCAAAAGGCATTTTATTTCTTTATAGATCTGCAATAATTGGATATGATCAAAGGAAGTTTAGGGGGAGAAACTTCCGTGTTACGGACTTTTAGAATGTCAGGGAAAGAGTTAGTCAAAGAAAGAGTTAGTGAGGGAAAGAGTTAGCAAAGAAACAGTTAGTCAAAGAAAGAGTTAGTCAAAGGGAAAGAGTTAGTCAAAGAAAGAGTTAGTCAAGAAATAGTTAGTCCAAGAAACAGTTAGTTAGTCAAAGAAAGAGTTAGTCAAAGAAACAGTTAGTCAAAGAAGAGTTAGTCAAGAAAGAGTTAGTCAAGAAAGAGTTAGTTAAAGAAAGAGTTAGTCAAAGAAAGAGTTAGTGAAGAAACAGTTAGTCAGGGAAAGAGTTAGTCAAAGAAAGAGTTAGTGAGGGAAAGAGTTAGTCAGTTAGTCAGAAAGAGTTAGTCAAAGAAAGAGTTAGTCACAGAAAGAGTTAGCAAAGAAAGAGTTCGTCAGGGAAAGAGTTAGTCAAAGAAAGAGTCAAAGAAAGAGTTAGTCAAAGAAACAGTTAGTCAGGGAAAGAGTTAGTCAAAGAAAGAGTTAGTCAGGGAAAGAGTTAGTCAAAGAAAGAGTTAGTCAAACAAAGAGTTAGTCAAAGAAACAGTTAGTCAGGGAAAGAGTTAGTCAAAGAAAGAGTTATTTTGTTTAATTACACTCACTGCTCTGCAATGCCCACTCATCGGTCTGGCCTCTGCTCCCGCCCTGGAAGGATTCATGCTGACTTTTCAACACTGCCTGCTTCTGGAGTTTTGCCTAAAGTTGTATTGGCTCACACTAGCCATGCTTCTGTCTTCAAAGAAACTGTGACAGGAGCTTTGCAGTGTGAGGCTGCCCAAGACGGTCTATGTGACCCCCCCAGACAGTGCTGGGAGGGGGGGACGGGCCCCTAAAACTTGCGGTCAATGCATGACCAGTCAGCATGAAAACGCGTTTCGCTTGCCAATCACAAAAACTTGCAGCCTACGGCAACTCTCATTTTGTTTAATTACACTCACTGCTCTGCAATGCCCACCCATCGGTCTGGCCTCTGCTCCCGCCCTGGAAGGATTCATGCTGACTTTTCAACACTGCCTGCTTCTGGAGTTTTGCCTAAAGTTGTATTGGCTCACACTAGCCATGCTTCTGTCTTCAAAGAAACTGTGACAGGAGCTTTGCAGTGTGAGGCTGCCCAAGACGGTCTATGTGACCCACTCCCACGCCAGTGAACTTTTCAAAGCAGTGTCTGACCTTGAAACGTGTCGCCACAAGCCTCCCCCGTAGTTCCGGGAAGTTGGGAAAGATTTCCAAAGTCACTGCAATAGCTCGCCAGGGACAAGGAACTCTCTGTGGACAAATGGCTAAAGGCATCCTCTACATTCCCTTCGCCCAGAAACCCGTCGCATAAGCAAGGAACATTGCACTGTCTGTCATGGTCAGCTCGCATCTCATGCGCACGGCGCCATACGTGCGCCGTAAACAAAACGCATAGTAAGCTCATGAGGCCAAGAAAAGACCCCCATGCATTGACCGCCCCCATTCCCCTTAAGGTAGCTTCCAAAGAGAAAAAATCACGCTGATTCATGTCAAGTAGCTTTCCACGCAGCCAAGCCTTGAACTTGGCACGTGCCAAAGGCCAGGAGAGAGCAACTTGCATTTCCACTTCGGGCAGAGAAGGCACCGGAGAAGGGCGTGGCAGTTCCAGCAGTGTGCGCCGCAGGGCTTGAAGGACCTGAGTGCGCTCAGACTGCACATCAAGGCTTAGATGTGCCCATAGAGGATTGCTCCATGCCAGGGCGTATTCCATTCGGACCATTTCGAAGGTGATCTGAATCTTCCCTGAAGGCAGAAGTTGCCCCCAAACTTTCAGTGCATCAAAACGAGCAGCGAGTTCAAGGTGCTCTGTAGCAGTCTGTGCAGTGGGCATTCCCAAATTGACTGAGGAGGCTGCTGCTAGCATCTGTTCCTGCAGCTGCGCAGTCAAGCAAGGAATGAGAGTGGTGGAAAAATTGCTTGCAAACCACTCGCGGAGAACTTCATCTCCATCCACTGTCACCAGACCTGAACATCGTTGTGTCTGCAAATCCAAGATATCTATCCCTCGCCAAGCATTTGCAGCAGCTGTGAGACCGTTACTGGTGGCAGCCACCACCATTTCACTCGCACTTGAAGCCACGATGCCAGTGAGGTTCATAGCTTGGCCCGCTGCCATAGAGGTTGTCTCTCCAAGAGACAGGGCCGCACCCGTGAAGGAAGCCAGCTGACTGAGGAGCCCCGAGGATCCACCCAAAGAGGCAAACGCAAGGAAAAAACAGCAAAAGGAGAAACGGCCCATCGCTCTTTTGCGCACCACTTGCCAAAACCATTTAGTCCATGTTTTGGTGCGCAGGACGCCTTTTCCGTAAGACGCCTCTGCCTTTGCCTTTGGCTGTGGTTGGTCTCTCTGGGAAGGCTGGCTCTCCTGCTGCCGTGGTCTCGAGTCGAGACCTCCATTGTAGGTGCGATCCCATTCTGTAATTCTCCATTGCCGCTTTTGGTGTGTGCTGAGGTGCTCTGGCGGGTCCGGCAGCATGTCCCGGAAGACTTTCAGGCGAAAGTCGGGACGGTTGGGATCTTCCACAGAGGCTCCCCGCGCCCTCGCCATTGTAACGGCCCAGCTCAAAGTATTGTTCTATGTGTTGCTGCACCCACTTGACAGTTGGTGCAAGCCGACTAGAATGAACTTGGGCCCGTATGTGCGCTGCAGCCACAACATCCACGTATGTCTGAAAACTGCTTTCACACAACCATCTACCTGCTGCCTGTATGTCTTTCACAGGAATGCCTTTCAAAACAGCACTTGTGGCAAAGCCTGCCCTGGGGGAGTGTGCTGTTAAACTCAAAGACAAGCCATAAAACGCCTCGCACTGCTTGAAGGCATTGTTGTAACAAGAGTAGCTAAAAGGAAAAAGGCGGCATCCCACAGCAGTAGTTGCATGCAGCTGTTTCATCATCGCAGCGGCTAGTGGGGACTTAACGGGACTAAGGATTGCAAACTGTTCCCTCTTCACTTTAGTTGACACCATGGCGCCCAAACGAACTGTCAGAGGACTACTGTTGCCAGGCGGCGCAAACACATGGTCTTGGCGGAGGCTGAGCAGTTCTGAAGGACGTAAGCCCAGCGACTGTTGCACCACTATGCCCATGCCCATCCTGGCACGTTTGGTTGATGCCAGGTACGCCGCGCAAAGCAGGGTGAGCTCATCAGTAAGTGGAGTGGTATGTTTGGTGGGCTCAGCAGCTGCACGACCCTTCAGGGCCTCACGGCATATGATCAGCTTCCCCTTGACATGAGGAAGGAAAAATTCAGTAGCTGCAACAATCATGACATGCTGGGACTTGGTCAGGTCCATTTCAGTGCGGTACTCCATGATCATCAGATCCAGATCCTCTGCAGCCGCCATGGTGACATCATGTTGCCTGTGCAAATATTGTAAAAAGTTCTCAAAGGCCTTGCTGTACTTATCCAAGGTGTCTTTGCTGACTCTGTGCCGCAGATCCGGGTGCAAACGCCTCATGCAACTGCACACCTCTGCGAAAAAACTCATTGCAAGCGGGAAAGTTCATCTGCAGGTTGTTTGGCAGATTCCGTCCAAGGAAGGAACAAGCGTATTTGGGCCGCCAGACACCAAGCCGCTTTCTGGCGAAGCACCCTGTTCAGTGAGAAGGATGGGGACCTGCCTTTAGACATCGCCCCTGCTGTTGGCCGGTTATCCTGCAAGGAGAACACTGCATGGTTGTGAAGTGCTGGCCACCCTGCCAGACGCTGCACCAGTTTGAGAACAGTTCTGGATTCACCAATGGTGATGTGGTCACCATATTTCCATCTGCCATGAGCAACGGGTTTCCACCTGGTCTGGTCCAGGATGCTGTCTGGGAGCATTGTGAAAGGAACTGTGGGCACCAGCGGCTTGTCAGGGTATTTGACGCCCCCGCCGCCATCCAGTCTTGCTATCGACTTTCCGGGAGCTTCCCCCAATTTGAGAACTGTTTCTAGCTCGGATTGGTCAAGCTCTGTGACCACAATTCCAAAACCACCGTGATCAACATGATTGGCTCCCATGGCATCCGTTGCAAACAGCCACGGCAGCAAAGGACTTCCTACCTGGCAAACCATCAAGCTGGTAACTCTTGCCATGGCGCGCACTTCGTCTCTGGCCGACTGCCACCACGCCACAACCATGCCATCGTGTTCTTCCATAAACTTGAAAACACTATGAGGAATGCTCAGCAGCTCTCGCCGCAATAAACTACCAAAAATCCACATGCCTACCAAGGATCTCAGCACGTCTATTGACACGAACTTCTGGCTAGCAAGTCCCATCATAGCGATCTGCAGGAGCGCCATCTTGCGCAAAGGCAGCCTGAACTCAGCTGGCTTGTTGACTACCTCATAGCCGACCACCTTCTCCACTTCGCCAGACTTGTTCTGCTGTGAGACCTTGAAGCCGACCGCCTCAAGGCCTGCAACCGTCTCTGACATGAGCCGGTCACAATGGCAGGAATGATCGCCATCTCTGCTCACAAACACTGTGTCATCCACATGGACATAGGTCGCTGCTTGCCCATGCCTCACTACAAGACTCTGCCCTTTGGACGTGGCTTCGTTGAGCAGGACCACTCCTGGCCGGACTGAATTCTTCCAGCTCGACCATGCTGTGACCCTTGGAGCCGGGAAACTGTTGTGAGAGCTCAAAGCTCCAGTTGGTCCTGTGTGCTTTGCTGACATCTTAAGGATGGTGTTAAACAGCATTTGAGCCACTGCGAAAGAAAGACTTGTTGGGTATGCCTGTAGCCTACGAATGCAAGAGGAATCACCAGGTGCTCGCCCAATTGTCTGCCCGTGGATATGCACAACACTCAACCCAGGGCACCAAACTCCGTCAATCACATCCATTCCTATAAGGTTACCTGACAGTGTAGTTGGCTTTGGTGATACGCCACCGAAAGCACACTGATGAAAATGTACCCTGGTGGCATTGGCCCGCTTCTCAAGCTCAATCACCTCAGGCAAAATCCAAATGGAGGGATACGGCGAAACACCAGGATCTGAAGGGTGCTCCATAAGGTAGCCCCCGCCTCTACCGCAGACTGCATCAGCAATAGCCCAGAAATTGAGCCAAAGCTCATTGGCCTCTTCAAGCCGCTCACGCTCATGGCACCTTAGGTCAGGACGGCCCCACAAAGCCCACCGAAAACGCAATGGACGAGAACTGCCCGGAAGTCTAACATGCCGTGCTCTCGCCACTGTGCTGCAGGGCGGTCGCCCAAGCCACAAATCAATGAGGCCTTCTTCTGCAAGTTGAAGTAGTTTGTGGAATGTTGCAGGAATGCGGAAGTCCCAATTTGGGTCCACAGCCAAATCAACTGAAAGCATGAGCAATTTGAGATCAGCGTGTTCCATCATATTTTCCAGGTGCTCCTGGATGTCTCCGCTTCTTCTCTCTCCAGCAAACATGTGGATGACAACAAAAGTTCTGCAGTCAAACTGTTTCGACCGTCGTACTATGTCACACCATTCATCCACGGTGTAGACAGACATGCCCTTAATCCCAAACCGTCGTTGTTGTTGTCGCTCCACCCAAGCATCATCGTCAATCCAGTGTACCATGTCACTGCTTGGGTCTTCGCCCTCTGCTGTGGCCAGCGGTTCCAATCTAGCATCTTGGTCGGAAACGTCATGGTCATTGCTGGCCAGATGGATCCGTGAAGCATAGTTGAATAGTGTGGAACCTATGTGGTGCATGTTTATACGCATGAGAATGTAGACAGAATGCGAGCCGCCCATTGCCAAACGTAGATACCGTGGTGACACAAAGGTGCAGTCAGGATCAAGGATCTTATTCCGCAAGTCCGGAGGCAGCAGCGGCCAAGCTAATGCAGCTTTGACCGGTGGCCCGGCCTGCCAGTAAGTCATCCATTGGGGAATTCGCACATACGTGAAGGCAGAGTCCTCATCGCATGCCGCTACCTGCATATGGTTGCCTTCCACAAAACATCTTGACAAAGAAGAACCACCCCCCATTCCTAAGTGAGCACGGTTTGTGACATCTTCGAACATGTAGTTGGAAGCCACCTGCATTATCAGTTTACGTTGATGTACCTGGTCTTTCTTGGGCACGGTGGACACCCCTGCAATTGCACGAACATTTTCCAGCAAATCCCATTCCCAGAGGTGCTGCACGTCTTCGCGTGCAAGATACTTGAGGTACTCTTCTAAGCTTCCTCCAACAAACCCATAATGCTCCTCAGTTTCACGGAAGATGGCTTCACTCTTTCCTTCACGGCAAACTACATGTTCCTCTGCAGAATAGTAGATCGCATCATCATGAGGCAGCGCGGCTAACATGTCAATTTGTCTATCATCCACTGGTTCCACAATTTTGTCGGCCTGCAAAGGGACTTGTCTGACACCCTGGGACCGGACATACCCGTCTGCTCCGATGGGAGACTTCAAAAGGGCAGCTGTTGCTTCACGGACGCCTGTCAGGCCAAGACCCCGGCGTGCCCTCGCTGCATCAACCGCACGCACACGCAGAGATTGAAGAGCAAGTGACCTAGCAGCTGTAACCTTCATCCGACATCCGGCAGCAGCTTCAGGTGAAGTCAGATGGCCAACATGGCCAGTGCTCAGAGTGTTGATCTCACGCACCAAACCACACAAAAGGCGGTGAACTTGAAGCCGTTTCTTTTGGCGCTCCCGCAATCTGCAAGATTTGAGGCGCTTCCAAACAACAGTCTCTGGCAAAGGCAGTGGAAGTAAAGGCCAAAGGTGTTTGGCCTGCGCAAATTCATCCACCGACGGCAACGAGGCGCCAGACGGTGGCAGTTCCCACTCATGCAGCAGGCGTTCTGGAGCCGGTAGTGGGAAGCCCGACTCCCCGCCGTCAGGGCCTCAGCCCTGCGTGGCTGCATTTGCGCCCTTTCTGCCCCGACCACCGCCGGAGCCCTTTCCGCCACCAGATCCACGGCCACCCTTTCTGTTTCTGAGATCTCCCTTTCCATTGCCGGCATCAAACTTGCTGGCTTTGGCTCCACGCTCTTGTCTCTGGTATTCAACCTTGGAGTGCAAGTTGGCATCATCCAGCAACCATTTCGGAGCTATGTCTGAGTTGGTGCCAGGAGCTCGTACACCAAGAATGCGGTTGGCGCCCGTCTTGTCCTTGGTGCGCCGCAAATAGATGAAAGCTCCAAGCTTGCGCAACTGAATCTCCAAGGTGTCTGAAGTGGCAAGTTTGTGCATCAGCATGCCCTCAGTGGTGCAGTTGGCTAGCTCAAAATCAATGACGGTCGCTGCAACGTATAGGTCCTGATATTGCGGTGATGCCTTTTGTTCCAGGCCGGGGTGTTGTTCATTGATCCACTGTCTGACTGACGACACCCCTTCTGACCTGATGTTCCTGTAGATCTCCGGGCCAGCTCGCTGCAAGTCTGCAGGCAATTTTAAGTGCCATGCCATCTGCTCTGGATTTGCAACCTGATCACCTGCAGCAACTCGCAAAAGGGAACCGCCCGAGCCATGCATAGGGCCACCTACTGTTTCCAGCGTTGCTAACTGTTTCTTCAGTTCTTCCACCCTCGGCGGGCTCAGAGTGGCAGACCCTATGTAGCCGTGGCTTTCTAAAAGCACTTTCACATCATCTTCAAGACCATACAAATCCATCTCATTCTTGACTGCTTGCCAAAACAGCTGACCCCAAGTGGGGACTGTGCTTGCCAAACCATATGATTTCTCCAAGGCTGTGCGCAACCTAGACGCTTGGAGCTGCACTCTGCTCTGACCCGCCCCCAAAGAAAATGGGGCATACACATTCTCTGGCTGTGCTACATGCGGTGCTACGGCGCTGGCGTGTGCTTGTGCTGGTGTGTGTGAATGACAAGGACGTTTCACTCCCTCAGCAGCAATTGGCCCAATCTTCAACCCTGACACTAGTTGCACCTCCAAACGGTCACCCACTATTGCAGTAATCGCACCTGCCTGACCTTGAAGGGGCCCAGTTGGACCTGCACCAGTCAGCTCGACCGCATCGCCCAGCTGCCATGCGCCTGTGGTCGGCGCAGCTGCGCCAGCACTCATACCTGGCAGAGGTGGAGTTCCAGCTGGCATTGTTTCCAAACCCAAGGAGCCTGTATCGGCTTGTTGCTGAAATTGATTACCAGAAATAGTGGTTGATTCCTGGGAATAGAAATTGCTTCTACGCGATAAGCACCTTGGGGCGCTGACTGCAAACCGATTCGTTCTCGTAAGAGAAACCATGCATCGACGATACAGTAGGTATAGACCCAAGACCAGCAGGAAAACCCCCAAAGAAAGGATGTAAAACCGCCAGCGCCCAGATAGCACCCACTGATCAGTGCAGCAAAGAAAAAGACCAGCCAGGAGAATCCACCAATGCAAATGCATGATCAAGCCATTTTTGTTGTTTTCATTCGGGACCATGACATCAGAAAGTAAGTGTGCAAACTCATGCGCTACTAGATCATTCCAACTTTCCTCTGAAGACGTCATGAGGGGAAATGAGTCAGCCGCGGCTGTCCTACTAACTGCTGCTGTGTACAGATTCCAGGTGAGGTCACATTTCGCTTGCATGGGTAATGCAATCACATCTTGTTCATGAAGAAGCCACTGAATCAACGGCTGGATCGCTCGACCCAGTCCTACGCGTTGTGCAGAGAGATTTCCACTTGCCCCAGCATCACGCGCACGATTTCGCACTAGCAGCAGTACTTCACTGAGACTGTCCATGTCTCGTACATCGGTAACCCCAGCTTCCAGGAAAGACGCGGCAGCATCGCCCAACGCTTGTTGGGATAAACGGTTCATTGCCAAACAACCCGCAAAAATGGCCTCTCAAGGGGATAAAGTCATCTTAGCTTGATCCCCTAAAACTTGCGGTCAATGCATGACCAGTCAGCATGAAAACGCGTTTCGCTTGCCAATCACAAAAACTTGCAGCCTACGGCAACTCTCAGTGAGGGAAAGAGTTAGCAAAGAAACAGTTAGTCAAAGAAAGAGTTAGTCAAAGAAACAGTTAGTCAGGGAAAGAGTTAGTCAAAGAAAGAGTTAGTCAAAGAAAGAGTTAGTCAAAGAAACAGTTAGTCAGGGAAAGAGTCAAAGAAGTCAAGTCAGGGAAAGAGTTAGTAGTGAGGGAAAGAGTTAGTCAAAGAAAGAGTTAGTGAGGGAAAGAGTTAGTCAAAGAAAGAGTTAGTCAAACAAAGAGTTAGTCAAAGAAACAGTTAGTCAGGGAAAGAGTTAGTCAGAGAAAGAGTTAGTGAGGGAAAGAGTTAGCAAAGAAACAGTTAGTCAGGGAAAGAGTTAGTCAAAGAAAGAGTTAAAACTCTAGGATCGTTCCCTCACTGTAAATGGCATTGCAAGTGGTGCTGGTGGAGGAGTTGCCGATGGAGTTTTGAAGGAAGTCTCGCACGAAATGCGTTTTTGAGAGATAGCAGATGCACGAAACCCTATGTTTTTCCATACAAAGTGCGTCCACGAACCTCGATGATCTACCTCTGCGGTGCGACGGGTGCGAGACGGTCTCGTGTGTGGTCGGATCATGGGCGGATCATGGGCGGATCATGCTCGGATCGGTTCCGCATTGTAAATGGGGTTTCAACTGTGTTTCGTGCATGTGCGGTCGACAGAATTCCATTGTGATTTGCAACTGTAGGATCGTTCCCGCAATGTAAATGGGATTGCAAGTGGTGCTGGTGGATGAGTTGCCGATGGAATTCCATTGTGATTTGCAACTCTAGGATCGTTCCCTCACTGTAAATGGGATTGCAAGTGGTGCTGGTGGATGAGTTGCCGATGGAGTTTTGGAGGAAGTCTCGCACGAAATGCGTTTTTGAGAGATAGCAGATGCACGAAACCCGAAATGTTTTCCATACAAAGTGCGTCCCCGAACCTCGATGATCTACCTCTGCGGTGCGACGGGTGCGAGACGGTCTCGTGTGTGGTCGGGATCATCCGGATCGGATCATCCTCGGGATCATGGGGTTTCGTTTCGTCTATGCGTCGATTCATTGTGATTTGCAACGGATCGGTTCCGCATTGTAAATGGGGTTTCAACTGTGTTTCGTCATGTGCGGTCGACAGAATTCCATTGTGATTTGCAACTGTAGGATCGTTCCCGCAATGTAAATGGGATTGCAAGTGGTGCTGGTGGATGAGTTGCCGATGGAGTTTTGGAGGAAGTCTCGCACGAAATGCGTTTTTGAGAGATAGCAGATGCACGAAACCCTATGTTTTCCATACAAAGTGCGTCCCCGAACCTCGATGATCTACCTCTGCGGTGCGACGGGTGCGAGACGGTCTCGTGTGTGGTCGGATCATGCTCGGATCATGGTCGGATCGGTCTCGGATCGGTTCCGCATTGTAAATGGGGTTTCAACTGTGTTTCGTCTATGTGCGGTCGACAGAATTCCATTGTGAATTGCAACTGTAGGATCGTTCCCGCAATGTAAATGGGATTGCAAGTGGCGCTGGTGGATGAGTTGCCGATGGAATTCCATTGTGATTTGCAACTCTAGGATCGTTCCCTCACTGTACATGGGATTGCAAGTGGTGCTGGTGGATGAGTTGCCGATGGAATTCCATTGTGATTTGCAAGTCTAGGATCGTTCCCTCCCTGTAAATGGTTGCGTCAAGGTTCCTTCGTGCTGTGGCTGCATTGGTAATACTATTGTCTTTTGCAGCTGGACTTCGTAAATCGTATTGGAGTGGCTGCATGAAGGCTGCCACAGCGATTTGTTGGCAGATTTTCTTCATTTTGGCGCTAGTGAATTTCCTTCTAAAAATTCTTTTAAAAAGTGCTTCAAAATCGTCTTTTTTTCGCTCTGGCGTCGAGATCTGGTTTTGGAGCTACAATTTCCGACGCCGTTGTGCGTAGTTCTATTGTGTTTTGCAACTCAGTCTCTGCAGATCGCATTGTAATGGCTGCGTCAAGGTTGCTTCGTGCTGTGGCTGCATTCGTAATACGATTGTCTTTTGCAGCTCGACTTCGTAAATCGTATTGGAGTGGCTGCATGAAGGCTGCGACAGTGATTTGTCAGCAGATTTTCTCCATTTTGGCGCTAGTGATTTTCCTTCTAAAAATTCTTTTAAAAAGTGCTTCAAAATCGTCTTTTTTTCGCTGTGGCGTCGAGATCCGATTTTGGAGCTACAATTTCCGACGCCGTTGCGCGTAGTTCTATTGTGTTTTGCAACTCAGTCTCTGCAGATCGCATTGTAATGGCTGCGTCAAGGTTGCTTCTTGCCACGGCTGCATGCGTAATACTATTGTCTTTTGCAGTTGGACTTCGTAAATCGTATTGGAGTGGCTGCATGAAGGCTGCGACATTGATTTGTCAGCAGATTTTCTCCATTTTGGCGCCAGTGAGTTTCTTTTTAAACATTCTTTTAAAAAGTGCTTCAAAATCGTCTTTTTTTTCGCTCTGGCGTCGAGATCCGGTTTTGGAGCTACAATTTCCGACGCCGTTGTGCGTAGTTCTATTGTGTTTTGCAACTCAGTCTCTGCAGATCGCATTGTAATGGCTGCGTCAAGGTTGCTTGGTGCCGCGGCTGCATGCGCAATACTATATTCTTTTGCAACTGGACTTCGTAAATCGTATTGGAGTAGGTGCATCAAGGGTTCGACAGTGATTAGTAGTAGTGCTGGGAATTGATTAATGAAAGCTTAATAGATGACATATGAGAAGGGACGAAATGAGAAGAGATGAGCTGGGATAAGGTGAGAAGAGCTCAGATGAGATGAACTGTGGAGTGTGAAGAGTGTAGTGTGAAATGTGGAGCGTGAAGAGTGCAGTGTGAAGTGTGAAGTGTGAAGTTTGGAGTGTGAAGGAAGCAGTGAGAAGTGAGAAGTGTGAAGTGTGGACTGTGAAGTGTGGAGTGTGAAGTTTGGAGTGCAAAGAGTGCAGTGTGAAGTGTGGAGTGTGAAGAGTGCAGTGTGAAGTGTACAGTGTGAAGGAAACAGTGGGAAGTGAGAAGTGTGAAGTGTGGAGTGTGAAGTTTAAGTTTGGAGTGCGAAGAGTGAGTGTGAAGTGTGAAGTGTGAGGTTTGGAGTGTGAAGGCAGCAGTGAGAAGTGAGAAGTGTGGAGTGTGAAGTGCGAAGTGAGAAGTTTGGAGTGTGAAGGAAGCAGTGAGAAGTGTGAAGTGCGAAGTGAGAAGTGTGAAGTGTGAAGTTTGGAGTGTGAAGTTTGGAGTGGGAAGGAAGCAGTGAGAAGTGAGAAGTGTGAAGTGTGGACTGTGAAGTGTGGAGTGTGAAGTGCGAAGTGAGAAGTGTGAAGTTTGGAGTGTGAAGGAAGCAGTGAGAAGTGAGAAGTGTGAAGTGAGAAGTGTGAAGTGTGGACTGTGAAGTGTGAAGTGTGAGTGAAGTGTGGAGTGCGAAGTGCGAAGTGAGAAGTGTGAAGTGTGAGTTTTGGAGTGTGAAGTTTGGAGTGGGAAGGAAGCAGTGAGAAGTGAGAAGTGTGAAGTGTGGACTGTGAAGTGTGGAGTGTGAAGTGCGAAGTGAGAAGGGTGAAGTTTGGAGTGTGAAGGAAGCAGTGAGAAGTGAGAAGTGTGAAGTGAGAAGTGTGAAGTGTGGACTGTGAAGTGTGGAGTGCGAAGTGCGAAGTGAGAAGTGTGAAGTGTGAAGTGTGAAGTTTGGAGTGTGAAGGAAGCAGTGAGAAGTGAGAAGTGTGAAATGTGGAGTGTGAAGTGTGAAGTTTGGAGTGTGAAGGAAGCAGTGAGAAGTGAGAAGTGTGAAATGTGGAGTGTGAAGTGTGAAGTGTGAAGTGCGAAGTGAGAAGTGTGCACTGTGAAGTGTGAAGTGTGAAGTGTGAAGTGTGGACTGTGAAGTGTGAAGTGTGCAGTGTGAAGTGTGAAGTGTGAAGTGTGAGGTTTGGAGTGTGAAGGAAGCAGTGAGAAGTGAGAAGTGTGGAGTGTGAAGTGTGGAGTGTGAAGTTTGAAGTTTGGAGTGCGAAGAGTGCAGTGTGCAGTGTGAGGTGTGGAGCGTCGAGGGAAGGACACGGTCGGGACAGGGTGTCTTTGAACTATAGGTCATTTATGTTTGGGAAACTTCCGCCGCCGGCTTGCCCGGGTCTATGTTAGATTGATAGATAGATAGATAGATGGATAGATAGATAGATAGATAGATAGCTAGGTAGATAGATAGATATATATATATATATATGATACAATTATAGGTAATTGTTACCAATCTTGTGGCCAGGTCAAAATCCCTGACATCCACCAAATGCACCAAAAAAACATCAAAATGTTCACCAACCTGACAATCCCAGACGGTCCTCTCGCACGGGTAAGCTCTTGAAACTATCAGAAGATGGAAAGGGAACCTTCGGTCGTTGTGGATGGCGAAGGCTCGTGGATTTCGCTTTGAAAATGCTTTCGGTAGCTTCAACGATTCAACCCATCCACACCATCCAGTTCGTGATGAATCACTGGAGTCACCCGCCAGTTCGGATCAGTTCTGATGAATCCTGGAAGTTGAAATAATCGCCGTTACCCAAGTTGTCGGGAGCCTTTGAAAGACAAGTCTTTCGGGGGGAAAACAACTCTCCCTGTTCAGCAAAGTCACAGAGTCATTCCCGGGCTAAGGCAGAAAAGATTTGAAGACCGCTGGAAACAGCTGAACCAAAGTTCCTGTTTCAATAGGCATTTATCATGGCTTTAGTATGCTTTGGTAATTGTGGCCATAAGTTCCAGATTCAAATGTCACTTCTTCCAGATTCCCCACTGGATGTCTCATGTTGTTCCAGATCTGTTCCATCTTCATCCAGGAGGCGTGAAGGTAAAAACCAATGTTTGCCTTGTGAATCCTCAGTAGCAGCGGAAGTAGATGAAGAACTCCTCTGTTATGTTCAGCACCGCACCCCAACAAAACACTTGTGAACAACAAATGTGGTAAACAAACTCCATGACGTCTATAGAGTCTAGTGAAGCATCCCATCATATCCAATCAAACACATGCAATGTTCATCTCCAACAAGCAGAAGGTGATGCTAGAAAATCATCTCATCACCATGTCTTGGTGCAAAAAAGGCCCCCAAGACATCGAACTCCCAGTGACAGTGGATTTCCCTATCGAAAACAAACACCGACTCGGCAAATCTAGTCGTGGTCATGGACACATATATATATATGTAGTATACATATATATATATACATACAATCATACATATATAATATATATATATATATGTCGTATATATACATATATTATACACATATACATACATGTACCCCATTATAATACCCCAGATCTGGTGGTTCAAGCAGTTACAGTCAAATCTCTATTTACTTGCTAAGCCCTATCGTCTTCATATCCCATTCAGAGAATTGTTTAACCCTTCTCTGAGGCGTAGGCTTGCGCGCAATGAATGTTGGCGTCATGAGCATGTGATAGTCCTGTCGCCACCCGACACTGGACTGGATGGCTGTTTGGACCCAATGCCGGTCATGTTCAGGATCAATATAGATTGGTATAATCCCATCCCCCGGTCATTTTTGAAAAACCATGGTGAATGATCCAGAATGCTTCTTATTTTACAGCTGTTTTTCATCTTGAGCCATGCTCATGTTGGCAAAATCATCACGTCTGATGCTACTGGTGATGTTGCCATGCCAAAGCCATCTGAGTCACAATGAAAAGTCCACCAAAAAAATCGTTGATTTTACCATCAACACCTCCATTTACGTTCGGGATTTTTCCAGCCTGCCATGGTTTGATGAAACCGGAGGGTAACTCAAGTTTTCACATGGACCTGCCGTTCTACATCCAAGTTGTGAGTTGTGAGTCCCCCGGCTTCAGTGGCTTAGTAGAACCATGTAGAAACCCCTATGGGGATTCAACCAACCCCATTCAGAGCTGGTTCTTCATAAGCCCAGCTCATGAGCCCAAACCATAAGCCCAGGTCATAAGGTCTTATTATCCAATAGTCAATGATAATAAGACCTTACTATATACCTTATTGGTTCAGTTATAGGTCTTATTATCCACCGGATCATCTTATTGTCATTGACTATCTGACCATATCTGAACTAATGGGATCCAATGCACTGCTCCTGAACCCAGATGAGATCCGACTCGTGCAAGTGTGGCACCGAGGACGTTGCCTGGTGCTAGGCTGGTGGCTGGCCCCCTTGATACGAAGCGCCAAGGAAAACCATGGGATGATTCATATCATGAGAAATGATGACAGACCTGACCTAACCAACTTACTTTTGGTTATTAAAATATATAATGGGGCCCAAAACAATGGTGGACAAACTGGCCAAATCGCAATTCTTCATGGCGAGACTGATAAACCATGGGATTTGGAGACGGTGCAATCAAATCCTACTGCTGGGCTCACAAGAATGTAAGATCTATCCGATCATATACTGGTTGGTGGTTGAGCCACCCCTCTGGAAAATATGAAAGTCAGTTGGAATTATGACATTCCCAAAAGATGGAAATTCATTAATTAAACATGTTCCAAACCACCAACCAGTATATCATATGAAGTTGGTGACTCCCTCGAAATTGATCGACATGGTATGAACATACGCGACAAACACCGAACACCACCACCACATACCACGGTATCCGCAGGTTAGTTTTGTAGCTGCTTTCCCTGCGACACTGGAAATTTGAATGCTATCAGCATCACAGAGGGCTGTTTCCAAGATTGGAAAACACAATCCCATGGTTGATCATTTTCCCCACTAAAACGGCCATATTGGTAAATTCATGTAAATTCCCCATTTCTGGGCCCGTTTGGTGGGTAAAGTTGCGAAACCGACATCCCATGTTGATGTAGATCACATTCTCTTTTTGAAACCTGCCATAGAGTATGGGTACGTGTACTGGTACAGCCCCAGTTTCAAGACCCGGGGCCCAAAACCCTCAGCTCTCTTCTGCTGAGACGCGTAGATGTTGTTGATGTGTTGGTAAGCTGCCCATCCCTGTTCGTTGAACAGCCTTGGAGGATGAAGACATATCGTAACTTACCCTCTGGTACTTTAATCGCTTTAACACTTTGCTATGGAAAGTCACCAGTGTTAATAGGTATAAAAATATATAAAAATAATATATAACTGGGTCATTTAAACCAATTAAAGTATGAAACAGCATGAAACAAACAACTTTTGGATTTGGGAGGAACCAAACCCGCTGGTAGTTTCAGCCTATCTCAAACGTATTCCAATGACGCATCATGTTTTGTTTAGCTCTGGATGGATAGTGTTGAAGGCACACGATTTTCAAAACACTCAATCTGATTCTGGTTGGTGGTTGACCTACCTCTCTGAAAAATATGAAAGTCAGTTGGGATGATTCTTCCATATATTATGGAAAAAAAACATCATGTTCCAAACCACCAACCAGTGATATAATAGGATCCTCAAGTCGCCGGCAGAATCCCAACGTAAACCAACATAAACCAACTGATAAATGATACTTGACAGCATCAACCTGCGATATGAAGAGAAGAGGATCCACGACCCCCCAACGAAGTGTTGAAAACTGTCATTCCATTGTACTTGATTGTTGGATTCCCATAGTTTGTGATGATATTCCAATCTGTTGGAGAAATTTGGATAGTATAACTATATCGCAATCAACAAGTGTTTTGAACAGTGCTCTATTGCCTAGTGCATATTTTTTACAAAACAAGTGCACTCTTGGAAAGTGCCCGCATATTGCTGCAGGTCAAAAACCTGTCACCCTGATCAAATGGCCAGTGAACACCGAATTGACGCATGCTCTGATATCTTGATTCCAATCACTTTGGGCAGACCAATGGCTCCAAAGCCCCACTTGTCCCATAAGATGTCAGCCCTTCTAAGCCCATTGATCTCTTCAGAAAGCAATAAACAAATCGGGATGTCAGCATCCTGCTAGGTACAGAAGTCCGTATATAGCCCAAACATGACCTAAATTAGGTCGTAAGAATCCAAGAATAACAATGTCAACATGTCATTCAATTGGACAACGATGAAGTTTTGAGCCATAGCCATTGCTAAACAGAAAGGGCGTTGCCACACATCATGGGCCTGTGATCAAACTTGAGAGCCCCCAAGAAAATGGATGGTTATATCAACAAGTTGAACGAACATTGCTATTACAAAAATTGAAGAAGTGCTACTGAAATGTCTGGTATAATCTCTGGATTAATATGGCAGTGTGTCAAAACCTTGTACCCCTGGTGAACATCAAAATAGCTGGTAAATGGATGTTCATCCCACTAAAAATGGTATTAATAGGTATTGATCCATAGCCATATCTGGTATATTGTATAAAGAAGCAACATATGTCTGATGGCCCAACGCCGGGATCCAAGGGGCTGGGTCTTCACGGACTGAAAGGTCTGCATGCTATCGTGAAAGACCTAAAGGGCGGCCGCGATTTTCGTGACTCAAAAAAATGGTTTAAACATGTTTAAACCATCTGGTTGGTTGTGCAATGCCCATCTTATTAATTCTTATTATACGGTTAATGATTGTTAATAATAATCTGGTTGGTGGTTTTAACCCATCTTGAAAAATATGAGTTCGTCAATGGGAAGGATGACATCCCATATATGAAATGGAAAAAAAATGTTTGAGACCACCAACCAGCCATGGTTGAAACCGTCAAAACAGGGGATTTCACTAAAGGATTGGGTAACTCATCAAACATATGGATAGTTTACACCACTAAACCAATAAACGTGGTCAACGCAAATGAGATCTAGGTAAATTTCAGAATCTACTAGCCGCATCTAGCCGCCAATGACACAGGACTTGTGGAACTGATTGATGTCATCAGCCATTGACCTCCTGTTTTCTTGGATCTACTCATTCCATAGGTCATCCCACTAAACCATGGAAACAACACGGAACAATGTTTTTCTTTAAAAAAAACATGCAAAACGCAGGAAATGCAATCTTGACTGCCCGGCACGCAGTGGGTGTCGAAGCGAATTACATGACATAGGAAACCTTGATGAACAAAAACAACATGTCATAAGTAATCAGCCAGCCAGAAACTGGGCGGCCAAGAACATACCAATTTCGGAACCCGTTAGAAACCCGTTGGAAACCTCATGACTTAGGACTTGTGGAGGGCTTTGGTCCTGAGTCACTAGCCCCCAGTACAATTCCCCTCTCTTGGATGGTTCCTCATGTTTAATCAGGCTATCAATCATCCACACATGTAAGAATAATATACTCAAATTACACTCCAGTAAATTATATAACATAGACCTGCCAGATAGGGGGTTGCAAGATTAGTTTCCACGAAGAATGGGTTATTTTCAGGGTCTATGTTAATTTACCAGAGGGTATTAAGTTCCATTAATACATCTGCATACAATGAATTCTGTATGTTACATTAATACACCTGCATATGTATTGTGTTACATTGATACATCAACCATATCAAAAAAGGATCATGATACAGTAATACATATAATATCATTAACATATATTAATCCCATAATGTGGGTAAATCAATAATAAACCATCCCCCAAATCACCATTTTTATAGGTGGTATGGTTACCATTCCCAAATGGGTGGTTTATGACATTGTTTTACCCACATTATTAATGTTAATGATTGCCTTATAGATGTTTTATAGATATTTAAAGACGATTTATAGATGATGTATAAATGATTTATAGATGATGTATAAATGATTTATAGATCATCTATAAATTATCTATAATATGTTCATGATGCATTTAACATCTTTAAGCCCCGTATCAACAGCATCAATCCCACTGGCTGCCACTTCTCGCCAATGGCTGCCCCACGGGCCAAAGAAGATCGCGGCAGAATACCAAGAAGTCCTCGAATTCCTGCAGCGGAACGTGGCATCTATGGTTAATCTATGGTTAATCTATGGTTGATCTATGGTTGATCTATGGTTGACCTATGGTCTAGATCGACCATAGATCAACCATAGATCGACGATAGATCAACCATAGATCAACCATAGATCAACCATAGATCAACCGTAGATTATCCGTAGATTAGCCATATATCAACCATAAATCAACCATAGATTAAGCATAGATTAAGCATAGATTAACCATAGATCAACCATAGATCAACCATAGATCGACCATAGATCGACCATAGATCAACCATAGATTAAGCATAGATTAAGCATAGATTAACCATAGATCAACCATAGATCGACCATAGATCGACCATAGATCGACCATAGATCAACCATAGATCAACCATAGATCAACCATAGATCGACCATAGATCAACCATAGATCGACCATAGATCAACCATAGATCAACCATAGATCAACCCTAGATCAACCGTAGATTATCCGTAGATTGGCCATATATCAACCATAGATCAACCATAGATTAAGCATAGATCAACCATAGATCGACCATAGATCAACCATAGATCAACCGTAGATTATCCGTAGATTGGCCATATATCAACCATAGATCAACCATAGATTAAGCATTGGTTGATCTATGGTTCATCTATGGTTAAGCTATGATTAATCCATGGTTGATCTATGGTTCATGGTGATTAATGATATTTAATGGTGATCATCTATGGTTAAGAATGGAGAAATCTATGGTTAATCTATGGTTAATGATGAGAAAACCTGGTGTGGGCTGGCTTGCCATACCATACGCACCAATTACCTGTTGGTTGTTGAGGCCGGGGAAGCTCTACTGTATGAATTGACCAACAAGAAAAGGACATCTGTGGTGTGGGATACTGGAGATGGAATTCTCCACGCGCCCATATCAGAACCACCCACGTGCTCACGCTGTTGTTGATCTCGATATATGCATATATAATATATATATATATTATGTGCGTGTATGATATATATATATATATATGTTTGGATGCGCCAATCAAGCACGTGTCTGTACATTTGTTTTACACATCTGATACTGCAAGAGTCTACAACAGCACGGAGTCAAAGTGCAAACACACATCGAAGGCGGTTGCTTCATACATCACCACGTGCGTACGATGTTTAAAAACAAAACACATGTGGGAATGGGTCAAAATTGAAGACCTGGGGGACCACAGATTTTAGTCTATTCTTAGTATTAACCATCTAACTATTGGGGTACCCAATTTTGACTCATACCCATGTAAATACACTATCTTGACGGCATGTGTTGCCTAAGCGCTCAATGAGTCACGGCATCTGATGTCACATGGCTCCACCAGCACGGTTCATCTACAGCTGATCCAATTGATCCGGGAATCCAGCGTTACATTTTCCATGTCCTTGGGATTATATAACAATCTATGGTTAATTTATGGTTAATCTGTGGTTAATCTATGGTTAATCTATGGCTAATCTATGGTTAATCTATGGCTAATCTATGGTTAATCTATGGTTAATCTATGGTTAATCTATGGTTAATCTATGGTTAATTTATGGTTAATCTATGGTTAATCTAATTCTAATCGATTAATCGACAATCAACATGAATTGACACTTCGACATAAATGACATAATTCCACACTATCCCTGATCCAAGATGATCCAAATCCTTCCTGGGAAGCTACTTCCGGTAAACTCACATCGTTATGGAAAATGGACAATCATAGATGATGTACCTATGGAAATCGTGTTTTTTCCATGTTTTTGTTCAGCTACCCTCTGGTAAACTAACATAACTATGGAAAATCACCATTTTTGATGGGTAAATCCACTATAAATAGTGGATCTTTCCATAGTTATGTTAGTCATTACCAGAGGGTATGTATAGTACCATCTTCGGTGCCTTTTTTTTCCGCGCCTTTCTCGGTGGCCACACTGGGATCATGTCATTGGCCGCCTCGGTGATTTCTACCGGGTAGATGTAATGGGAATGGGATGGAAATCGACTTGGAAATTACCCTCTGGTTATGACTAACATAGCCATGGGACATGACCCATTTATAGATGGTTTACCTATTAAAAATAGTGATTTTCCATGGCTATGTTAAATAACCAGAGGGTAAATGAAAGGGGATTTCACATGAATCACAGTGTTTTCATGGGAATTTTGATGGGGATTTTAGGGTGATTTCATGGTAATTTGATGGGGATATAGCTAATGCTAATGAACTTAATATGATACTTGGGTCTGAACATGCAAAATATCTTCAAATATCTTCAAATGGTGGTTTATTGGCGGTTCCACTATGTTTCAATGAGGAACATCTGATAAACCATGGGAGCACAATTTCATCTGCTGTGAATATATCCAGTGTGAGCCCATTAAATCCCGTATAACACCCACTTCATTTATCAAGGGATATGTGTGTTTGTCCGGAAAATATGGGAGATATACACCCACAAATTCAAATTGAGGCAATATTCAATGGGAAGAAGACGGTTGTAGAGTTTTGACCGTCATATTGCATGGAAAGATATGGAAACTCTCGCTTATATAAACCAACGAGGGTTTCATCCTATGCCGGTGGATTCATTTGAGTGGATTTCACCTGTGGCCAGGTTGATACTCTGGTAATTTGACACGTTCTATAACGTTCTATAAAAATCACCATGTTCAATACGTAAATCATTGAACTAAATGGACCGTCTATATCATAGCCACAGCAAGCTGTTAAGAAAAAACGGATGGTACATATGATTTGGATTGATTTAGTGGATCATATCCCTATTCGTCAACGAATACAATATGATATATCCCTCCCTGCTAACTACAGAGTGTGCAAACAACAGCCAAGACATGACATGGCAGGGTCACATCCTCTTGATTGTTACTTGACCTTCTCCGTCGTTGCTGAGAACAGTGATTAGCTGTTGGCTGTATCCACATTATTTGTTCAACTCAACTCCTTTCTCTGTTGCTTGAAGCCGAAATTCTTGGTGGTTTCGAGTTTCGAGTACGATCGGGTTATGACTAACATAGCCATGGAAAATCGCCCATTTATAGATGGTTTACCTATAAAAAATGGTTGTTTTGGATGGCTATGTTAGTCATAACCAGAGGGTATCTGTTGAGGAAATGAATCTGTTGCTGTTTCCAATCCCCGATGGTGCGGATTTAAGAAACTCCCCATGGGTCAGAAAGTGGAGCTGCAAACCTCGAGGTGAAACATGGTGAACCATTTAACATCATTTAACATCCTCATATTCCTCATTGACCCTCAATGATACATGTGGATCTTTGATCCCAATGCTCTGTATAAAATATGATAAAATATGATAAAACAAATCTATAAATGCCTGGGTGTTGTCATTCTCAATGTGGGATTTATCATGACCCAAGATGGTCTCAGATTTTCACCGAGCGATCCCCGATGGATCTGCCGAGCGACCAGGAGCTTCTCGATTTCTCGCTTGTCCTTCTCGGTCTCTGGATGGACTCCGGGCCAGCCGATGTTGACCACCTCCAGCGATGTGGAAATTTCCATCGGCTGTCCAGGGGCACCAATAGCTGGATGGGGGCCTTGAAATCTATGGTGAAAAATGGAGAAATCTATGGTTAATCTATGGTTAATCTATGGTTAATGGTGAAAACATGACAATTAATGGTGATGAAATCTATGGTTACTATCTGGTTAATCTATGGCTATTCCATGGTTAATGGCCATGGAAAATTCCAAAACTTAAAGTGGATGTTTTTATCCGGGTACCTCTGTTTTAGGCCACCCCCATCTATAAAAATTCTATACTTGATGAGCTTTACACACCAACTTATAACATCTTAAAACTGCCCAGTAGGCCTTGTGTAGTGTGGTAAGCTCAACAATAAGTCATCCCAGCAACCAAACATTTGGGGGTCATTTGGGCATTTGGGGATGGTCTTTTCTTGGGGTTTACAGGTTTACCCGACTGATGCTTCCAATGGATATACATCATCTATGTGCATCTTAAGGGTATTGTCTTATCTATTGCATTTGGATGTGTCATAGATCCGAAGTTGCGCAACATGATGCAAGACCATAAAAACTGTGATTGCGCAACGGGGCCACCGTTGCAATTCAACAGTCTGCCACCACCACGTCTCCACGGCGCAAGCGCGGCGCAGACCTTGAATTTCTTCTTTTCCTTAATTTCCTGGCACAGCTCCAGGGAGGGGAAGCTCCAAGGATCTGGGATGCGGTCCCCATCGGCTAATGGAACCATGGAATTTCAATCGCCGATGGGGCCATTAGGTTTCAAATATGTTCAATGACGTTTCAATGGACTTTGGCATTTTTGGAGACACATATGTAACCTAAATTGGCATCAAGGCTTTCTGTTGCTCGAAGGCATGCACATCTCTTCCAGTAAACTTCCAGTAGAGGTTGATCTGACGCGAGTTTCTTTTCTCCCAAATCTTGTGACATGACTGCCGAGATTTCCCTGAAGATCTGTCTTCCTGGATGCCGTTCAACAGACTACAGCCTCTGTTCATCAACCTTGTTGAACCCCCACACCTGCAATCCTCCAAGGATAGGGTTCATGTGAGCCGTCAGTATTTGTTGCACAAGTCAACCCCGTCTTGAGGCAATGTTGGGACCTGTTGGGAGACACGAATTTTGGCCAAACTGGGGGCAAGAAGTCTTGAACCTTCAATACCCCTATGCACATAGCAGAATGACCATCTAGGATTCCTCCACCAGGAGCAAAAACATGGTCAACAACATTGGATTCCACAAGTTGTTTCATCGAACATGGCTGGGCTGGTTAGAATAAATCAATACTTTCCACGAATTTCCACCCAAGAAAAACACCAATGACCAAGGTTTACCAGTCACCTGTGGCTTATCCAGACCCCAGCCTGTATCAGTGGCAAGAAGGCAAAGTTTCTCCCATCTGTGGGAGCCTCAATTGAGTGCCGCAGTGACTGGAATCGCCAAGTTTGTAAACATAACTCCAGAAACTATCGGGTTTATGGTGTATATATATATATATGTATGTATATGTATGTATATGTATGTATATGTATGTATATGTATGTATATGTATGTATATGTATGTATATGTATGTATATGTATGTATATGTATGTATATGTATGTATATGTATGTATATGTATGTATATGTATGTATATGTATGTATATGTATGTATATGTATGTATATGTATGTATATGTATGTATATGTATGTATATGTATGTATATGTATGTATATGTATGTATATGTATGTATATGTATGTATATGTATCTATATGTATGTATATGTATGTATATGTATGTATATGTATGTATATGTATG